GAAATCGTTACAGTTCTTCAGTGTTATGTTGCTGATGCATGTGTGTACGCTATTCTGATACGAAACAGCATTTGGTTCCCATCGATCCTCTTTTTAACCATCGGTCGCTGTTGCAGTGGAACAATCATTTCCGCATTACTGCAATGATAAAGAAAGTACCCTCGGTAGACCTACCCCCACTGTCAGCGCGCCGTTGACCGACCCATCCCGTCCCGTCACACTGGGGTGGGCGTGCCGGGAGGGACGGACGCGGCGCACTCGCTGAGGTCCGAGGCCTGGCACCGCGCCGTGGCCGGTGGCCGGTTGCCAGCCAGTCGTTCCCCGCCCCCTGCCCCGCGGGGGCGTGGGGGGGGGGGTTCGTGCCCCCCCCCCCCCCAGGTGACCGTGGACACAGCTGTGACGGGGGACGGCGGAGACGGGCTTGACAGGCCAGCTGGATCGATGGTGTGATGTTTTTATACAGGGGAAACATGTGAAGAATTAAGATACGTAGAAGATCGTGCGCAGCTGGCGCTCTATGACGTATTTTGAAATTCTGTCATTTGCCCTATTATGCCTACATTAATCTTGAAACCCTAGGTGTACCATCTGGTTTTTGTTGCTTCTAAGTGTTATATGTAGTTTCACTCCTTTTCTAACATGAAGCACCATTGGTAGATCCCGCGCCGGGACGCAGTTTTTATCGGAGTGGTGTTATTTCAGACGCCATTTTGGCGCTGTCAGACGACGTCTCTCGGAGTCGGGACTAATCGGGGCGTAGATGTGGTCACAGCACCAGCAGACAGCGCTTGTCACACTTTCTGCTGACCTTTGCTCTTTTCAGTGACCGATATGCTCTCACTCAACACTCTTCCTGTGACTTCGACACAGTTATCTGTTGACGGCAGCCCATCTGAAAAGCTGGGCGGTGATCTGTTCTTTAGTAATTCTCGTACACTTTCCCCCTTTTCCTCTGTATTTTTACTTAATTGCCCATTTCTCTTCTCTCTCTCTCTCTCTCTCTCTCTCTCTCTCTCTCTCTCTCTCTCTCTCTCTCTCTCTCTCTCTCTCTCTCTCTCTCTCTCTCTCTCTCTCTCTCTCTCTCTCTCTCTCTCTCTCTCTCTCTCTCTCTCTCTCTCTCTCTCTCTCACACTCTCTCCCCTCTCCCTCTCCCTCTCCCTCTCCCTCCCTCTCTTCCTCCCTCCCTCCTTTGTCTCTCATCCCTCTTCTGACTCTTTCTCTCTCCTCTTCCCTCCTCCGTGGCGTTCCCTCCCGAAGTTTCTAACTTCATCCCCCTTCCTCAGGATGTGGACGGACTACACGAGAAGGAACGAGAGACGGAGGCGAGCTGTGGCAAAAAGTCGCTGGGCACCACAAAGAAGGGTATTGGACCGACCTACTCGTCCAAGGCGACGCGTAATGGACTGAGGGTCTGTGACCTGCTGGGCGACTTCAGCTACTTCGTGGAGCGGTGGGTGGCCGCCCTGGGTCGGAGGAGAGGAGGGGACGCTTAAACGGGGAGGGGAGTTATCAGTGGAGTGGTGAATAGGCGCTGTGGGAAAGGTGGAAAGGAGAGATTCCGTTGAACATGGGTCAGAGGTTACTAGTTTTATATACATAAGGGATTGAGTGTAGGTTTTCATGAACTTAAGCCTCCGTGTATTCTACTGTCCTACGAGGGAATGTATCAGGGCCTAGTTCATAGCGCAAAGTACGTTGGCTATGGCTAGTGTCACTTTGCTAAAGTGACACTTACTCAAAGCCAGGGACACTTTTACTAACGTTGGTCAGGTGTGTAAGAGCGTGTACCTATATGTACCCATCTGTCGGGTCGCCCTTTCCAACGAGTGTCACTTAGCAGCAAAGGGGCTCTATATGAACTGGGCCCAGTCATTTTCATGTAGGTGACACCATTACGCTGCTGAATTCGTGTGCCATCACTCTAAGCTAAGCCGCTTTTATACACAGCTTTCAGGCTTGATGATACGCTTACACCGAACTTACGACATGTATGTGCCAGCTCCTAACCAACGACATTTATTTGCGTATATATAACTAACGCCATTCATGGTTGATTCGTGGTAACTCACTAGAATTCGCCAGACAATCTTCCCTACCCAAGATCCAGCCATGTCCGTCTCGCCGTCCCAGCTACCCTCCTGAATCTTCAATCCTCAGCCGCCTTCCCTGTGTTCCTTGGTCGCGATGACCATCCTCCCTCCCTCGCTTTGTTCTCCCTACGCCCGTCCTGTCTCCCGCGTCGCCCTTACTGTGTCCCTCTGGCGGCGGTATGACCGTGTACCCTCCACCCGGCCGTGCCGCTGCGGCGCGTCAGGTACCGCTCGCTGGTGGCGCACCACCAGCGTATGTTCCCGGCGCTGGCGGTCGACGTGGACGGAGAGCTGGAGCGCTACCGCCAGTACGCCGAGCGCCTGCGCCCCCTGGTGGTGGACTCGATCAGTCTGGTCAGCGGCGCTCTGGCCCAGGGCAACGGGTGTTGGTCGAGGGCGCCAATGCCGTCATGCTCGACATTGACTTTGGTGAGGGCTCTGGACTAACTAGGCTCTGTTGACTGGTGCTGGGCTGACTGGCGACTGAGCTTGGCTTTGGGCTGCAGTTGTGACAGATATTTGGCCATTGCAGGCTTGGTTTTTGCTGTGTTTTGGCTTTTCCTGTACATTTTTGTGGCTGCATACTTATCCGTGTCATAGTGTTGCAGTGTTAAATTCCTTGTTCTCTGCTGCCATCCCTGCTAAAAACTGCTCGTAGCGCCTCTCTCTCTCTCTCTCTCTCCTCTCTCTCTCTCTCTCTCTCTCTCTCTCTCTCTCTCTCTCTCTCTCTCTCTCTCTCTCTCTCTCTCTCTCTCTCTCTCTCTCTCTCTCTCTCTCTCTCTCTCTCTCTCTCTCTCTCTCTCTCTCTCTCTCTCTCTCTCTCTCTCTCTTTCTCTCTCTTCTTTCTCTCTCTTTCTCTCTCCTTTATCGCCCATCATTGATCATTGTCCTTGACCCATTAATAGTTAAAAACTCCTGAATTAGGTCGGACCTCAGCAACACCCTGCCGTTACCCTTCCATGTCCTTTGGTGTGTTTAGAGTGAGTGGTGCTGTGTTCAGTTTGCTGTGATTGTGCCTAAATCATGCAAGGATACAAGACACAAACACATTAATTACCTGCTGTGCTATCGCTGTATTATATAGGTTCGGCTAAGATATGAACTAAAGCAGCCTCGCTTACACTTTTCTTTAACACGCCTTACTTCCATGTCCATATTTTGCAGCATTTGCAGTAAGTTGTGCTTGATCAAAAATGATACATTACAATTCAAAATGCATCTGTATATTGTTTTGTCTGTGCGCCTGCTCAGTGCTGCATGCTGCTGTTGGGTTACCTCGGCTCTATTGTTTGGTGCTCATGAACCTGTCTATGGCTAAATTTTCAAGGCATGCTGAGTCGGTGGTCGTCTTCTACGACCCTGTTAATGCCTGTCTGTGATGCGCCTCCCTGCTTTATTACCGAATTTAGATGTTGTTTGGCATCTTCTCTCACACGAATGACAATGCTGCTAATACACTTCCTTCTCGACACTCACTCTCAGTTCATTCCTCGTGTCTTCGCTTTATCTGCATCTATAGGCTGTGGATGGATTCTAGACCAGTTTGGAAGCGACGCTGAATGGTGTAAAACAGTTGCAATGCACTGCACTTTGCATACTTTAACAGGTGAGGTCTTTGTTCGTGATAAGTGTTCGTCTGCCTTGGTTGAACCTCACTATCATATAATTGTCACCAGTTTCTGTGGCGTCCGTCCTTCAAATCGTGCCCGTCGCGTCCTCTATGAACAGTGAACGCAGATGGGTCGCGCAGCTCAGTATGCGGTGTCGTATCAACCACAGGGGGCGTCGTAACAGCTGGGTGGTTACCAGCTGCTACTGGTGGGCTGATGGTGATGTTTGCCCCTTAAATGACAGTATATTCGCTTTATTTCCCGGTACAATACAGGTATAATTACTATTTTGAAAATGCGTGTTTTGCAGCGCACGTAGAACATGTCTCTCTAGCTAGATGCCAAAGCTCGCCATCGCTTGTATGTATTTGTCGTCACAAATCATTTCCGAAATCGATATTAAACCACACCTGCATTCACACCTCCCTGTCGTCTATCAGCAGCTGGCCATTACGCTTTTTCCAACCGCTTGAGTGCTGTCATACACTGCCGATTGTACCCGTTGGCCTTTGGTGACCCATCTCTCTTTACCGGCAGGACCGTACCCATTCCTGTAACCATCCACTCTTTCTGCAGGCACCTACCCGTTCATGACCCGTCTCTGACCCCCCCCTCCCCTCTGTCCCGTCCCTCTAACCCAGCTCCACTCTTTCTGCAGGCACCTACCCGTTCGTCACCTCATCCAACTGCAGCGCCGGCGGCGTGTGCACCGGACTGGGCGTGCCGCCGCGCAGCATCGGAGACGTCTACGGCGTGGTGAAGGCGTACACGACGCGCGTCGGCGTCGGCCCGTTCCCCACCGAACAGCTGAACGTGAGTGGCGCTGCCGGCGGAGGCGATGGGGTGATGTTGGTTCTGCCGGCGGTTGAGGCTCTATGTTATTGACAGGGAAGTGACAGAGTTCGTGGTTTTGACGGGAAGACGAGGTGAATTGATGAAAGGGGTGGATTTGAATGAGAGTGGATGCTCTCTCTCTCTTTTTTTTTTTTATAAATTTAGTCCGAACCTTTTGATGGGAAGGATTCACAAGGACAGAGCCACCGCTAAGCGAAGCTTGTTGCGATGACCCTGCCCTCTACCCTCCGATCGCGCAATTCCGATTCTATGGCAGAATTTAGAGTCCAAAGTTTAACGTGCGCACAAAGCCGCGCACGGCCGGTCCCCTCGCTGACTTCGCCTGGCTACGGCCTGCCACCAACCGCAACCATACCTGTCAGGAGGCCCATAAATGTCGAGCGCCCGTCGCGCTTCGAACCCGGACTGTCACAACCGGGAACGCGTGCTCTCACCACGCGGAGTCCAACGCTCTAACCAACTTAGCTACGGGACTCTTTGTGGGCGTTACCGGAATAAGTTACATCGCTTCTGTTTGGGTCCATTTATTGTTAAGCTCTCCACCTGAGATTGGTGAGTGAGATTTGATACTGTGTCCCATGTCCTGCCCACTCGTGATGAGCGTACATTGAAATTTACTCACCGTGTTCTCCCCATAGTAGACCCGTAACCTGTGGTGTCACCTACCGTCTCCTTCCCACAGGAGATTGGTTACCTGTGCTGTCACGTGACGTTCCCTCACCACATTAGACCCGTAATATGTGCTCTTACCTACCGCTTCCTCCCTACAGCAGATTGGCAGTCTGTGCTGATCCCTACCTTGTCTTCTCCACAGGAGATAAGTGAGCTGTGCTGATACCTACCGTCTCCTCCCCGCAGGAGATCGGTGAGCTGCTGCAGACTCGCGGGGCCGAGGTGGGTGTCACCACGGGCAGGAGACGCCGCTGTGGCTGGCTCGACTGTGCCCTCCTGCGGCACTCCAACATGGTGAACGGATATACAGCGTGAGTGATCTGAGACCGGCGCCGACTTGTCGTTCGTCGCACCATGGAGGAGAGAATACTGGAGTGGCAACTCCATGCCTTTAGCATGGGCCGTTAGCGACAGACACGGGCCACCTAGCGGGAGCGGGTCGAAGCGCCCCAGCTAGTATCGGCGGGTCGCGGCGGTCGGCTTATAATGGCGGGCTATGGCGTGCAGCGGTTTAGAGAAAAGGGCGTAGGAGGATTATTTTGGGCGCTACGTGTGATTTTTGTACATCAATGAGCAGGAAATTAAACGGAGAAGACAATGGTTACATTCAAGTTCTAGCGACTTTCACAGATTAATCTCAAATCCGACTTCGAAATCGAACGACTTCCTTTCCTTTTTTCCATTTCGCTATGTACTTGATATAACCAAATTCTTATACTAAAATTGAAATACCTCACTGTATATTCATAAAACAAAATACTTCAACTCAACCGACATCAACCATTATCGCCGCACCACGCCGCGCAAACAATCTGAAATATTGCTCGATGTAGTCTGTTCATTTTATTCGTCAGAGTTACGAGCGCGCTCATTGGTTGAATTACGGACGGTTGGCAACGCTGATTGGCTGAGTGGTGTAGTTCTGCTTTCGATAAGAACCTATGAACGGTACTAGCTGGAAGGTGTCTGTCGCAAAAAAGCGTGAAGTTGCCACTCCAGTATTCTCTCCTCCATGGTCGCACACTGGGGAGAGAGGGTGGAGATTGTGTTGAGGGTCACATGTAACCTGGATGGTGTTGATCCGAGCTTATAAGTGCCAAATTGGTGACGATGTTAGAGCGACGATTTATTTCGACAATTGTTGGCTCAGTTACCTCTCTTCATCTGTGCTCTTCGATGTAAAACCCGTACCCTTGGGACTGTCGATCTCTCACTCTACATCTCTCATTCTCTCCCCTAAATTTCCATCTTTCCCTTCCTCTCTAACCTGCGTCGCTGATACCCCTACCCTCAGGCTGGCTGTGACCAAGCTGGACATCCTGGACACCCTCCCTGAGGTGAAGGTGGGCGCGTACTACCAGCTCGACGGCCGGCGGCTCGACCACTTCCCGGCGAGCTCGGCCGAACTGGCGCGGGTCGAGGTAGAGTACATCACCGTGCCCGGCTGGCAGTGCAGCACAGAGGGTGTGCGCACCTTCGGAGACCTGCCCGCCAACGCCCAGGAGTATATCCGCACAATGGAGCGGCTGGTCGGCGTGCCAGGTGAGCGCTGAGGCGGGAGTGTAGGCGGGCGGACATAGGCGGGAATGTAGGCGGCAGGCTGACAGAGGCGGGGATAGGCTGGTGGACAGAGGCGGGGATAGGCGGGCGGACAGCGGTGGAAATGTAGGTGGAGATAGGCGGGCAGACAGATGTGGGAATGTAGGCGGAGATAGGCGGGCGGACAGAGGCGGAAATGTAGGTGGAGATAGGCGCGCGGACAGAGGCGGGAGTGTAGGCGGAGCTAGTCGGGTACAGAGGGGATGGGCGGGTATGAATGGGGACGTAAAGCCAGGCACAACCGGGTGTAGTTAGAGGAAGGGATATCAGGGCGGTTGGGGTCTGCAGCTACGCGGCTGTTAGTCGTTCGGTAGTGGTGCTCGACGGATTAGCTACAGACTAGTGAGTAAAAGTGAAGTTGTGTTTGATCCTGCGCCAAAAATAACGGGTCCTTGATGGCGATGTATTGATATCAGTTAACGTCATTCGATGATAGAATGACGGTGATTTTGCTTCCGATAATGCATCTAGCTGTCCTTTGTGAGACTGTGAACCCTGCTAAGTGTGTCGTCAATATGGATTCGCTCGGCTTAATCTTGGGTGTGGGGCTCGAAGCTGGTCTTTCCCTGATGGCCTTATCAGTCGTCACGCTCGGCCATTGGCGCGTCGTCATTTGAGTGGCTGATCCGCCGTGCATCTCTGACGTTTGCAGAGTGATTATTGCCAATGGGTTAGACTCCACAGGAAAAGTTGCTAGCTAGGAGTTTGACCTGGAAATTTCCTTGCTTCAAACTATGTGGTCATGAAGATTTAAACACATGTAAAAAGAGCATGGCCATTCTCTGTCTTCGGGGACAAATGTCTTCTAATTTAATTGCATTTCTCTAATCTGATCGTCCGCTCCGATGGCCTTGCGGTGTGTCCGAGGAAATATTCGTCCCACCATTGCTTACGCACGTCTTGCCCTCAGAATATATTCTCACGTCTAACATCCCCTCCCTCCCCTCCCCGTCGACAGTGAAGTGGATCGGCGTGGGCAAGTGTCGCGACTCCATCATCCAGGTGTGACTGCCGCCGCCAAGCGTCCGGTTCACCGTGTGAGAGAGTGTGCTGTGGACTGAATGATGCACCCCGCTAGTTTGCCCGGTAGAGCGTTGGCCCCCCGCCGGACCGGTAACCCGTGTACCTGCCGTGTACTCGTATTTTCAGTACCAATATAACGTTAAGTGCCCCATTATCATGTACTGGGGATGATGAGGAAGGGGTTACCGGATTTGAGACTGGGCGACAAGGAAAGAAAGCGGCATGAGCTGGCGTTACAAGTTTTGCATTAAGCTATTAGTGACCATCTCGGCCTTTTTGTCATATTCACGTTGTCTTCAGATCATTTGAGTAATATCGACCACCATAATTCCATCCACCTTCCCCTCCCTCCCAGCTCCGGTCGCTCTTTCTCCTTCCCTCCCTCTCTCCCCTCCCTCTCAGTCCCTCCCTCCCTCCCTCTCTCTCTCTCTCTCTCTCTCTCTCTCTCTCTCTCTCTCTCTCTCTCTCTCTCTCTCTCTCTCTCTCTCTCTCTCTCTCTCTCTCTCTCTCTCTCTCTCTCTCTCTCTCTCTCTCTCTCTCTCTCTCTCTCTCTCTCTCTCTCTCTCTCTCTCTCCCACTCTTTCCGTCCCTCCCCGATTCTTTGTCCCTGGCTCCCGAATAGCTCTGAGTTCATTGCTAAATCAACTGTCAGCTGTGAAGCCCAGCTCGTTAGTCGGATACCTTCACACAAACTCATACCGGGGTGGTAACACCTGGGGCATTCCACGTCAAATCAAACACCGAAATCCGTCATCCCCTTCGATTTTTCTGAAAATTTGTAGGTAGACTGGGCATGGTTCAAAACTGAGTTGCGTAAAATATTTTCGAAATTTGATAACGTATCGCTGAGATATAGGTCATCAAATATAGCGAAAAATGCCACGCATCAATTTTTTAAATGGCTATAACTCTGGTTCCTTTTCTGGTATCAAAATGATATTAACAGGGTCTTATAGGTCATTGATAAGGCTTTGATTTTTAATTATAAAATTAAATTGAAGTGACCTTGAAATGCATTTGACCTTTAATTAAAACAGAAAAATTTAAATAGCAAAAAACATGTCACCTTCGATTTGGGTTATTTTTACATATTATGTCCGTCACAATGTTCCTAACCATCTGTGAAAAAATTGGAGTGGGCCATTCATAACTTTCGCGGCAAACGCCGTTTTCATGCATCAACATCACGCAACCGCGCGTGACCTTGAAAGACAGAGTCAAGACATGCTTGCTTGTGTACACTTTCTGAAATGAATGATTGCTGATTAGTGATATCCCAAACTCTGCGAGAATGGAAATGCATAGTCATCGTAGTCAAGCATTCACGTTCCATAGTAAAAGTGTCTCAGGCAAACGGTATTATGCGGTGAATTTTGAGCCGTGTGGAAATGCATCATGAAGTAAATTCAACGAAAACATTATCACGCAACGATATCTTCACGTCTTTTGATCTTCACTATACGAAAGAACATACATTTTTTTAGTATGTATGGGGAATTTCTAGTTAATCCAATAATAAATATGGCAGTTAGAGGCCTCAGCTAAGAGTAACATGTCGCCGGCTGAGGCGGGCTCGGCCGATGCGGGAAACGCAGCATTGGCAGCAATCACAATTTTGTGTTTACACGTTCATATTTCAATTGTTTACCAACCGATTTTCAAAATTCTTTCACCATAAGATTGCCTGTACATTTCTTAGTCTTCTCACAAAATTTGACGCGAATCGAACGTAATCAGCTGTAGGGAGCGCGATGTAAAGACGGAACCGTTCCGTTCCGTCCCGGCACAGTCTACAATTCAGGCGGCGCGTAGCGGTCGGCGCCGGCTGCCGAGTCGCCGCGTCGCTGCGGCGACAGTATGTTCACTTTACACCGCTATTACTAGAACAGTTGTGAACCGATTTTCTTATTGCTTGCACGATGAGATGTCCAATTCAATTCTTGACAGTTAGCCATAATTAATTTCGCATTCATCTTATGAGATATTGGCGAAAAAACAGGAGGGGTGGGCGAAATTCGCTCTTCCCCCTCCACTGCGCATGCTAACATACGTTTGCATATGTGCAATTTTCTTCAAAACTTATGAATGGCCCACTCTAATTTTTTTCACAGGTTGTTAAGAATATGGTAGGCAATAAAATATATGAAAATGAGCCAAATCGAAGGTGACGTGTTTTTTGCTATTTCAATATTCGTGCTTAAGAACAGAGTTAAGCAAATTTCAAGATCATATATTTAAGTAGGTGCAATTCTAAACAAATGCTTAAGAAATTACCTAAACAGTAAGGTTTATTTCATTCAAATCAAACAAGTACAACCAAAGTTATGATCGTTCAAAAATATAAAGATGCAGCATTTTGTAAAAATTTGATGCCCTATCTTTAGAAGACCTGTGGTCAGAATGTGCAAAAAACATCAATGTAATGTCCGGGGCCACACAGGAACTCGCTCACAAATTTATAATAAAATCGCTGATGGTAAGGTGCAAAACAGCCGATTTTTGTTCGATTTGACGTGGAATGCCCCACCTGGGCCGACGCGACACCTGTGCCACTGCCCGCCGTTGTCGGCATTGCCGAGCGCCGTGCGTCTTCTCGAATTGAATTGGTGTTCAGTCCTCTGAGACAGCTGTCCTGTCCTCCGGTGTTAAATGCGTGGTGCGTATGTTGCGTTCTCTAGGATTGCGCATTCTCTGAATTATGCGTCCTCTAGCTCCGGGATGGTGCGTCCTTTCAGATTGGATGTGTTTTGCCTTCTCTCTCTCAAGTCGAATCGGTCTCTCTACGTGCCAGTGGAACTCAGACTACCAGCTCTCCGCGTTTCTAGCGTCGTCGTCCACTGACCTCGAGCTCGGGTCTGTGAGGAGCGGTGGGAAATGCTCGCCCCCGGAGGCAGCCAGCTTTCCTGGGGAGGGAATTTTCCTGCAGCACTAGGAAGATGGCGTGGGCGAGCGAAGACGACGCCGGTGTTTTGCGGGACTGTCCTTGGTGATTTTAGCTCCGTGGGGTGCAACTGACGCGCGGTGATCGCTGATTACGGCTAGTGGGAGAGGAAGATTGTTCCGATTGAGCGCTATTAGCGCGGCAAAGCTCATTAGGAAGACGTGCGGACCGGTGTTATCCAGGATGTGACATGAGGCGTCTCAGCTCTCATTTGCCTGTCGTCTGAGACCTTTCCTTTGACGCAAGCCAACAGGATGCGGATCTGGTGTGGACGAGCTTTGTGTAGGCATCCCTGTCAGGAGGCCATGAAGGTATCAGTGACGGTGTGATCCGCATTGTAGTTTTTACGGCTGCCGGTGCTATTACATTATTTCTAACAAAAAAAAGACCGTCTGCAAACAAACAATTCCAGTGTAAATAAGTGGAGCGCGCAGATATGCATACCTGTCATGAACGCTTACTGATTTGATGTTTGCGATGGGGATGAACGATATTTCAACAAAGCCATCCATTCCAACCGATAGCTTTTGTGTGTACAAATTGTTCTGTGCGATCAAGCAAACATATCAGTTTCTTCCGTCCACATGTATTTCACCTCATGTCCGTCACGTATCTAGAGCTGCCAATAACAGTCAACATCAAACGCACAATGCACAAGTAGACCAATATTGCTACCAAAAACCAGCACGGTCGGTTCGGCGCTATCCACAGCGGTAATGGAATGATGACGTATTAAAATGAGCTGCCAATTGCCCGGGTGCGTGCCGATGGGCCATCATGGCACCTGCTCTCGCGCGGGCATCATTGCACGTTAGGCTGCGGGTTTAGCACCGACTGCGTGGCACATGCCATTTCCATTCACGATAGTAACGAAACGAACACGGCCGTTTCGTGCCGCAGTTGGCTCACGCGAGGGTCTCACGCTTCCTCGCTTCACTCCCAGCCAGAGACGGCTAATCCCCGTCCCAGACTGCCATACAGTGCAGGTACACTTTACAAATCAACCCGAAAAACGGCACTCCACTCGAGACTCTAGGTATGAACGGACGGCGCGGTAACTCGAGCTGGCCGGGCGGCGCCGGGCGCGGAGACGGCTGCTCCGGCCCGCGTCAGCCGCCCGCCCGACTGCTCTCTCAGCTATGGCTACTAAGTACAATAGACGGAATGTATCAATGGTCACAACGGTAACTGTTGGCAATCAGGAGCCGCGCGGAGTGAACCGGCATCTCCGCGCACAACCAGCGAGCTCCAGGACACAACACACACACACTCGCGTGCGCGCTTCACAATGCAGTAACAGAGGGCCCGATCGGCCGCGATGAGATGAACCTAAGCATATATGAACGAACATGAGTCACATCCTTATTAGTGAGCTGCTCTGGAGTGGTCGGTTTCGTTTGCATTCCCGGGTCTGGACATTGGCAATGAAAGGAAGTCCTCCTTTGGGGAAATTCCCCTACAAGGTGAGAGATTCCTCTAGCATCTGGAGAATCTATCCAGAGAGTTGAAGTATCAAAAGTGAAATCCACTGATCGGGCACTATGTGGCTCATAATATTTAAAAAGGTGTTATAGCCGCATAGTAGTCCCCCTATTTGGAACCTGAAACACATTTGACCCAATGTTAGACGTTAAAACTATTGGGTAGATTCAACTGAAAGAGGATTCTCTCAGACACATTCAGATCGTAATTTGATATTCATTCATTCCCCAGATTATACTCAGCTCGATTCTGACAATAAATACCACTAGATTCACAGAGATTCGCACGCCTTTGGCTGTTACCAACCCGCTCAAACACTCGCCGCGGCCGGGACAGAGCCCTTACCCGGCCGGCCCGACCCGCGCCCGGAATATGCCGCCTTCAGAGATCGATCGGGGGGGGGGGGGGGCACTACCGCAGCTGCAGCGACTGTGAGACCGCTCCCACCGGCTCGCTGTCACTGTAGAGGCTATCGGAGGTGGGCCGACGCCTCGAACCCACCGTCTCCTCGCTGCTCAGCTCCCTGCTGCCCTCAGAGGTGGCCGCTTCCGGCTCCTGCTCGTCCCCGGAGCTGAGCGGCCGCTTGGCGCAGACGCTCTCCGTGGGTGGGTAGTCCGGCAGGCGCGCCGACGGCGGTCGCGCGCGCGTGCGTGTCACCGGCCGTCGCGTGACGCACTTACGGCGCAGCGCCGGCGCCTCGCCACCGTCGTCGGACTCGGACTGACGCGC